TAGCCTTAGGGGGAGCAAAAATTATAAGTATGTGACCAAAAGAGGAAATGGGACAGGCAAGGCCTGAATTGAGTCCTGAAAGATGGATAAATATTTGCCATACAGATAGGAGGGACTGGGAGGTAAAATTTTTAATCTCTTAAGGTTTATGAGAAGATTTTGGAAAAAATCTGTACTTAATAACCTGTCATATTCTATGGGTAGAGAAAAATATACCCTGATTAAAATACTTATTATGCTTTTAAAGTTAGAGAAATATTAGTTCTAGGAGTGGGAGGGCTGGGGAGCGGAGGCAATTATGTAGTGTAAAAACCTCTGCTTTTGGTTTTCATACCTGCCAACTCTTCCTCCTTCCAGTCTTTCTGTCCACAGAGTTTAATAAAACTAAGTGCATTAAACTCCGTTTTGAAAATTCACATTTAGTCCCTCTAATTAGTAAACTTGATGTACCTAAAGTCTTGTGTGCCAACCATTGTGCTGAACATTTTAGACAGAGAAGTTTTAAAGGAGATGCAGATTGTCTTGGAAGAAACCACTGTATAGTTGTGTTCAGAAACTGAATTCCCTTCTTTTTAAATGTGTTTTAAAATTTATACGTAGATTTGGAAATCGGAAGGATTATTTGAAATAGGCTGTGTAGAATTCAGTAATTGGGGGACGGGGTTGGGAAGTGGCTGGGTTCTTGAGTTATGGTGTAGAATTACTCAGCTCTGACTGGTGGTGAGTTTTCTTATGGCTGTTCTGATTTTTACCATTGCAAGATAATGGCATAGTAGTGATTTTCTCTTGTGTTGCAAATATCTCAGTTTAACTGCTGCTATAATACAAAGCCTTTAGTCCTAAGAATTTCAGGAAAAATGTGAAATTTGAATACATGGTAATACACTTATTTTATCAAGTTTCTGAGGTATTCACTTTATGTGTTGGTATTGATTTTGCTATGTGTGTCTAAGGAATCTACAGGGGAATTGTTAACCTCAGAACACAAATGTCAGTTTCTGGACCTAGACTCGGAACCAAATGACATAAGAATTTGGTTCACAGAACATTTTAAATTTCATTGTAGTTGTTTTTATAAAATACAGAGGCTCAATGACAACTCACTAGATTTTTGTTGTCTAGAAAAACTATAATGTTGGATATGAAGGCTTTCAATTAGTTTAAAGGAAAAATTATGAAAAGTAAATATAACTTTACATGCAATAATAAAATAATTTAAATATGTGTCATAGTTTTAAGAAACAGTAAAAATTTATAAAGTAATACTCAAGCTTAATTTTTAGAATGAATTCATTAACCCAGTTGCATTTATTTTTATTGAAATAGTACCATTAATATACTTTTCTAAATATTATCTTTTTGTGACATATGCATCCATTTCCTGTTTTAACCTGTGCAGTTCCCTAAGAAAACTGTTTTCACAAAGAGAATACTCTGAAAATGTTTAAACTTTTATTTCTAGGTTTTATTTCTATTCTTTTAATTATTGATATAAAGAGCAATTCCTTTCAAATTACTGGGCACACATGGACGTATTATCTACCTAATCTTTCATTTAAAAAAAAAAAAAGCCTGAGAGCTTCTGCATATCCACTGTTGCTCTCAGTTGTGTGTGTCAAAAATATTTCCTGTCAGGTTATTAATTGAGATAGTACTGAATGGAACCAGCATTTTAAATAAAAGTAAGAGTAGGCAAAACACTAAACCTTCTGTATACTAGCCCAGAAAGACTAACACATAACACTCAGACTAGTATAGATGAAATCCAGGAGCTGTGGCTCACTCCTATAATCCCAGCATTTTGGGAGGCCGAGATGGGAGGACCATGGAGGCTGAGACGGGAGGACCATTTGAGGCCAGGAGTTCAAGGTCAGCCTGGGCAATACAGCAAGACTCCTCTCTCTACAAAAAGTTTTAAAAAATTAGTCAGGGGTGGTGGTGCTGGCCTGTGGTCCCAGTTACACCCTAGAGGCTATGAGGGCGGATTGCTTGAGCTCAGGAGTTCGAGGCTACAGTGAGCCATGATCACACCACTGCACTCCAGCCTGGATGACAGAGTGAGACCTTGTCTCTAAAAAAGAGAAATACATTCTTTAGTGTCTTCTGTTTGCCAGGCTTTGTGCCAGGTACAGGATAGAGTGATGAATGAAACACTGTGTCTGCTGTGCAAGCATTTTACGATCTAGTTGTGTATGATGGCAAGTAAACGGGCAAATAATGATCCAGTGTGATACATGCTGCTAACGAGGTAAGTCATCTTAGGAAATCAGGAAAAGTTTCCCAGCGGAAGACAAGCAAGCTGACATTTCCCTTTGTTAGCTTTTCCTTCTTAAACATTCCATCAGAATCCATCAGAATAAACCAATGAAATAAAACTGATAGATTTTTTCCTATTTTGAAAAAAACCATTCATTTGCTTCATAGTTCAGGAAAAAACCGTGCTGGTTTGATTCAGAAGTTGACAGATGAGATGTGTTTGACCTGGCTTTGTTGTTGGTGGATTACTTCGACTGAAGTTCTCATTATACTTTAAAATATGTGTTAAAACATATATCCCTCCCCAAATTATACACATTTGAAAATGTTTAAAATTTCAAAAATTAAACATAGGAGTTTTTGTCCTATATTTTTACCATCCATTTTATACATAAGTATATATAGACGATATACTGTTGCTGCTTAATGCAAAATAGATGTCCTTAAAGCAATTTAGTATTTGTTTACAAATATGTATGTACAGTTTTTCTCTTGATTTGAAACTGCAATTTTACCACATATTTAGAGAAAAAAAAAGCCAAATCTTGATATGTTGCACCAGATTTCATGTAAGAGCTGTTTGGAGCAGTGGAAGAGTCTCAAAGGACTCAACGCGTTTTCATGCTTCGTGTTCTTTCATGTAAACCTGATTTGAGAAATTTGTCATCACTTTTTCCTTCACAGAAATTTTATAACAAGTCAGCATCCATTTGTAGTCTCTGGTTCATCTCAAATGTTTAGCCTCTTCTCCTTTTTTTGTTTTTTGATGACCTTTGTCATGTTTCATCCTAAATTTATATCTCTAGGCGCAAGTCCTCTTGTGAACTCCAATTATTCGTTCTTAGTCTTTGCTTGGATTTCAAATGTAACGTAACCAAAACAGAACTGTTGGACTTCCCTTCAATTCCCTGTAACCAAACTTGTTCCTGTATAATTCTTCCTCATCTTATTAAATGGTAGCTATGATCTTCCACTTGTTCAGGCCAAAAACTCAAGCATTATCCTGACTCCTTTCATTACCCATATGCCGTGCTGCAGTGAGTCGTGTTGGCTGTGTCGTCCGCTTCTCCCACCACTGACCTCCAAGCCACCGTTGTCCACCACCTGGGCTCCAGCAGTGACTGCCTAACCATTTTCTCCTCTTCCATTCACCTTTTTATGGCCCATTCTCTACACAACAGCCAGAGCGATCCTTTGAAAGCAGAAGTCAGACTCCTTCACGCCTTGGCTCAAAATCCAGTGGCTTTCTGTCTCCTTCAGAGCAAAACCCAAACGTGGCGGTAGGGCCCTAAACGACCTCACTCCCTCTTTGAGCTCGTATTTTGCCCCTCTACTTACCCACTCTGCCCTGGCCACACTAGCCTCTTTGCTGTTCCTCTGTAACCACGGGCATTCCTAGCTTAGGGCTTTTACGCTTGGTCTTTCTCCTGATATGAACCTTTATCGCCTATAATTACACACGTTCATTCAGCAGTCCCTTCAGGTCACTGCTTAAATGACAACTAATCCTAAAGAGCTTTCTTGACAACTTTTGTTCTCTGCAAGGACCTTAAAGGACCTTGTTTCTCTCCTTGGCATTTATCTACAAGTGACATTTTTCTATCGTTGGGTTTTTTGTTTTTTGGTTTTTTAAAAATCTGTCTATTCAACTAGAACTTGAGCTCCACAGGGCCAGGGACTTTGGTTTTGTTCTTCACTGCTCTTTTCCTCGCACCTGTCTGAAGCGGTGATTATAGCCAGGATCTAGATATCCTGATTCTGCTCCAGTGCTCTTTCTGTGGTTCTCTGTGACCTCATACATCAACCTTCTTTCACAAACGAGGTTTTTAAGTTCCTTGAGCACAGTGATTGTGTCTTTTACTGCTTTTGCTCCGTCCCTGCGTAAGACATAGGACTGTGCCGTATACCCAGTGATGGCACTCCTAGTAAATGCCATGGCTTGACTAAATGACCTCCGGTGCTCCCTGTGGTCTTCATCAACGTGTATCGCATTACAGGATCACTTGGGATACTTGGCTTTTTGTTTGTTTGTTTGTTTGAGATGGAGTCTCGCTCTGTCGCCCAGGCTGGAGTGCAGTGGCACAATCTTGGCTCACTGCTAGCTCCGCCTCCTGGGTTCACGCCATTCTCCTGCCTCAGTCTCCCGAGTAGCTGGGACTACAGGCGCCCGCCACCACGCCCGGCTACTTTTTTGTATTTTTAGTAGAGATGGGGTTTCACCGTGTCAGCCAGGATGGTCTTGATCTCCTGGCCTCGTGATTCGCCCGCCCTGGCCTCCCAAAGTGCTGGGATTACAGGTGTGAGCCACCGCGCCCGGCCGATACTTTGCTTTTTGTGGGAGTAAGAGACAAGTTGCCATTACTCAACAGATACACGGTGGCATTTGGAAACTGCATGCAGTTTGAGTGAAAAAATCATGATACTGTAGGAGTCTGGTTTTCAATAAATAGCTTATTTGTATTCTGAATTTCGAACATTTCATGTAACTGTAACTTTGGGTGTAGTGGATAATGATACTGAAATTAGTGGTTTTGTGTTGGTTTAAGTCTTTTTTTTTTTCCCCAGGAGGTTGGTATTTCTGCACTCAACCACCTCATGTTGTTAGGGGGAGTATATCCCAGATAAATTCTGTTGTAAATCAAAGAGCATCCATGATTGGCTTGGATCTTTCTTACGCAACTACTAAGATGCTCCTACATTTGATTTTGAAAAGTTTCATTCTCTTGGCTACGAAGTTTCTTAAGTGACTCTGGTAATATTGATGGTTTTCCCCCTTGTTTTTACAGGTGATCTGCAACTCTTTCACCATCTGTAATGCAGAGATGCAGGAAGTTGGTGTTGGCCTGTATCCTAGGTATGGTGTATGGTACTTCATTTACTGGAAGACACTTTCATTCCCACCCAAATCCCCAGCCCCTTAGAGGCAGTTACAAAGGCAGCTTCAGCGGCTTGTTCAAGAGCCAAGCTTAAAACATAGCAATAAATTACAAAAAAATAAGGAAAATGTTAATTTTAAAGAAAACAATTTTATAATCCCACATTATATGCTGTGGTATTAACAAAGGGGCATATCTGAGAACTAAATTCTTATTCTCAGGGGGACTTTGGGTGAAGAAGTTGAGGATGGTGGGTGCTAATTAACCATCAGGCTGATTTTTGGTTATTCCCCGATTTCCTGAGCTGAAGCACGTGATTGTTTCACCGGATTTGCTGTAGGCATCAGTTGGGTTCATTCTGTCTTTCGCGTTGGCATGCTCTGAGCCCCTTCACTCAAGGGGGCGAGAAAACTCTGAGGCTTTGGCCCCTGAACGCGCTCTCCAGCCGTTGCTGAGCTGAACCTTCCCACTGAGCTATGAAACTGTCTTCCCACAAGCACTGTAGTCACGCCCAGTTTCATTTTGTTTTTATGCCATAAGAGTCCAAATGCAAATTTAAACTTTCTAATAATTGTGAACTTAAGAATTCAGCCTTTTTTCTTATTTTTCACCATTGTGATTAACCGTAGGTCAGGTGTACTGGTAGGTGGTTCTCAAAAGGCAGTAGCATAGGATGATTCAAAGCGTGGGCTCTGAGTTCCGGCCCCGGTCCAGATTCCATCGCCACTTACTAGTTGTATGTCCTTGGGCAAGCCATTGAATTTCTGTGCAGCAGCCTCTTCACCGGTAAATGATCCTCATGAGATCGTTGTGAGGATGAAATGTGATGAACATGCTCAAATGCAAGAAAGTGTTTCTGCATATAAGTACTCATTCTAGTTATTGTCAATTTCTCATAGCAGCTTAAATCCAGTTTGTTTCCCAGATGGTAAGAAATATACCTCCAAGGTAACAAAATGACTGGACCGTGGCCCAGGATGCATCAGGATGTAGTTGACAAAATAACATCAGCTCTCTATGTAAGAGCAAATACTCCTAATTATTCTTCAATGTGGATGTTCTAGCAAAGGCCACCATTTCTGCAAAGGAGCTCAACAAATGAGATCCTATGGGAAAGGTCAGTGGTATCTTGGCTGCCGCATCCCATTATGTCTGAGAGTATTTTTTTTCTTTTCCTTTTTTTTTTTTTTTTTTTTTTTTTGAGATGGAGTCTCACTCTGTCACCCAAGCTGGAGTGCAATGGTGTCATCTCGGCTCACTGCAACCTCCACCTCCTGGGTTCAAGTGATTCCCCTGCCTCAGCCTCCTGAATAGCTGGGATTACAGGCATGCGCCACCACGCCAGGCTAATTTTTTGTATTTTTAGTAGGGACGGGGTTTCGTCATGTTTAATCAGGCTGGTCTCAAACTGCTGACTTCAAATGATGCACCCACCTCAGCTTCCCAAAGTGCTGGGATTACAGACGTGAGCCACCGCACCCAGCCCTCTAAGTATTTCTTTGTGAGTCAGGTTTTTTCCGACCATGTTTGGCAGCCTTATTGACTGTTATCTAATCAGTCAACTATGCCCCAGTCCCCAAAAAGGACTCAGAAAAATGTTTAATTATTAAATGATAGAATTCCCTAATTAGCCTGCATCTTGGGGAGAATTGCACTTCCTAGGAAGTGTGCGAGTGACATTTCTGTGAATGTACCCTGAATACTGAGTCCCTGGTGTCCCGTCAACCTTACCTGCTCCTGCCCCACAAAGGAAGGTATCTTTTACTCACTGCATTTGTTAGATTGAGTTGTTCGACTCTACCTGCTGAGCTGTGACAGTCTCCCCCTTTTTCTTCCAGTATCTCTTTGCTCAATCACAGCTGTGACCCCAACTGTTCCATTGTGTTCAATGGGCCCCACCTCTTACTGCGAGCCGTCCGGGACATCGAGGCGGGAGAGGAGGTAAGGAAACTCATGCTTCCCACCCTGGTCTTCTTTCCTATCAAAGACCCTCTCAGCTCGGCCCGTCCCTAAAACTGATTGTGCCTGAGGGGACAGCTTTTCATTGTCCTTCTGCCACTGAGGGTACTCAGAGTACAGTCAGCTCTCCCCAGCAGCCTATCCTTTCTTCTCCCAAATTACAAATGGGCTAATTTTTTAGGGGAGAGGTCACCGTATTTCTGGATGATGAATGTTCCTGTCCTGTGTGTGTGACAGAGAGGTGTCTGTGTGTGACAGAGTGGGATAGAGAGGTCTGTGTGTGACAGAGGGTGTAGAGCTTTATACACACAGGGAAGTCAATGTTCATCATGTGTGACAGAGGTGTCATGCATAGAGGTTTGTGTTTTATGGCCACAGGGAAGTCAGTTCTTGTCCATGTGTGTGACAGAGGGTTTTGTGTTTCACACACAGGAAGCTGGGCTCTTGTCCTGCTGTGTGTGGGACAGAGGGTTTGTAGTTTATGCACACAGGAAGCTGCCCTTGTCCTATGACAGAGGGTTTGTGTTTGAGGTGCCACAGGGAAGCCGGGTTCTGTCCTATGTGTGTGATAGAGAGTTCAGTGTGACAGAGGTGTTTGTGTGTGACAGAGGGTGTAGAAGTATGCACACATGAGTCCTTGTCCCATGGGTGTGACAGGAGGGTGTGTGTTTTATGCACACACAGGAGGTCATTAAATCTCCTCAGTGGCAACAGCTGGAGCAGCCTCATATCCTCTGTGGGCAGGGAGGGCATCCCAGCTTGTGAGTGGGGTCCCCAGGACTTCTTTACCCGAAAGGCCACTGGTTACACTTTGAAGGTAATTCTGCATGTTCTACTTCTAGCAATACAAACAGCTTATAATTGCCTCAGGCTGACACTGGGACCTTGCAAACCGGCATCTCTGGGTGATCGCCTCAGCACAAAGTGCAAAGGATGGAGGACAGGAGGATGACTCAGCAGTGGCCTGGCCTTGACTCCTCCAGTTAGATAGAATGCGAGCCAGGCCTCTGGTGAAGGTCCTCTCGCAAGGCAGCTGCAGCGTCTGCTCCAGGGCTGTGACCTAAGGCTGCAATGGGTTTGCACAGGTGACTACCCGCATGAGTCTCTGAGTTACAGATACTTACACGTTCCAGAACCCCGTTTCCTTCTCCTTTCCAATTTGCTAAAGTGGATATTTATTGCAAGGAAAACAGTATCGAAAACTTTTATTGCATTTATGCAGCACTCAGCCAATAAAACTTAAACTCAGAGGTGCCATATTTTATGTAGACAGGGATTTGGCTTTGACCAGATTCTCCCCAAACTGATTTTCAGTGGAATAAACCACTTCTTACACAACTACTTGCTAAATTTCTAGATTTTAGGACCAGTGAATGAAGTATACTGGAATATATGTCAGTGAGATGGAGAATTTGTTTTTTTCTTTCTTTTTTTTTTTTTTTCTGGGGCCACAAAGGACTTCAAGGCAGGTAAGAGATGAAACCACTATTTTCAGCAATATTCATTTTGGAGCTGAAGAGTGGCTGCTGCTGTTGTCGATGATGATGATGTTTTTGCAAATTAAAAAACCAAGTAACTTGACAAAAGTGGTTAGAACTGGTTGGAATTTTCAGAAACAACAAAGAAAGTCTCTTATATTTTCCTAGGCTCGACTGCCAGTCATTCTCCCATGGTTGCTTTTCACTTGGTTGAATAAAACACTTTGTCGTTTGGTGCTGCTTTCACGTTTTCACATCTTTCTCTTTCCATCTCTGGAGCAACAAGCAAATCCTCCATCTTGCCTAATACGAGACATTTCCACTCAGTGTAAAGCCCTTCAGACTCAGATATTTTCCCCTGTGGTACTTAGCAAGACATCTTCTCAACAAAAAGAAGGTTCTCCCCACAAGTCCTTCATATATACCAGCTTGTTAATAAACATTTCTATATTCCATTTTGTAGGTCTTGCTGAATAGCGTTTCCCCTGATTCATCGTCCTCTCTGTCCATTATGGCTGTTTGTCTTATTAAGCGCCCTTCGAGACCCTTTGTTATGATTTAAATGTGTCCCCCAGATTCCATCTGTTGAAAACTTTATCCCCAAATTCTTGTTAATGGTTTGTGGAGGTGTGGAGTCTTTGGGAAGTCATTTGGATTAAATAAGGTTATCAGGGTGGGAACCCCATGATGGGATTGGTGGCTTTATAAGATAGAGGACACTCCTGCCACCTCCTCATGTGATCAGGCAGCAGGAAGGCCCTCCCCAGATGCCGGCACTGTGCTCTTGGCATCATGCTTCCCGGCCTCCAGAACTGAGAAATGTATTTATAAAGTACCCAGTCTGTGGTATTCTGTTAAAACAACAGAAAATGGGCTAAGATACCCTTTCAATCACCATCTCGTCTATGACTCTTTCCCTGATTTCCCATGTTAGAAGGAAGTTCTCACTTACAGTGGTTATTAATACATCTTTGGCACGTTATTATGGCTCTTTTGGAGACCTCTCTATTTATGAGCTTTACGAGGATAGACAATTGTGTCTTATTTCTGTATCTCTTAGCACTTTGCCTTATATCCGGGAGGTACTTGATAACCTTTTGTTGAATTGACTATTATATTGAGCTTACTCTTATGACCAGCAGTATTTCTTGTGGGGACACTATTGCCATTTTGAATGGGACAGTTCTTCATTGTGTGGGATTGTTGCATCGTTGGAGAAGACTTGTGTCCTTGGCACATGCTTAACTAATGCCTGTAGCCATCCCTCAACAACTAAAATATATCCTATGCCTTTCACACTGACCCCTTGGAGCAGAGGTAGGGGAGGGAGAGCCATGAAAGAGACATTTTGAGGCATTGATTAAGGAGGGTAATTCCTATTTATTGTACAAATATCAGCTTTAAATTAATGAAGGAATAAGTCTAGACATTTTGTGTTCCCAACACACAAAAATGGTAAATACGTGAGGTAATGGATAACCCAAATACCATGACTTGATCATTACACATCCTATGCATGTAACAAAATAGTACCTGGACCCCATAAATATGTATAAATATTATGTATTAATTTTTTTAAAGTTAAAATTCCTTGGGAAAAAATTTAGATATGTTGATAATTTCATATCATGAACTTTGCATTTGGTTTTAGTGTTCATTAGGGCACCCACAGTTTTAATATGAGCTATTTGGGATCTGTGTGTCAGAATATAGGCTTCACAATGGAAGACTCAACAGCAACTGAGGCAGAAGTTCCTCAGTCTACATTTGTTGAGTAAATTAACAAGACTTCTTAAAGATAAAATAAGAGCTGGAATAGGGCTGGGCACTGTGGCTCATGCCTGTAATCCCAGCACTTTGGGAGGCCAAGGCAGGTGGATCACTTGAGGTCAGGAGTTTGCATTCAGCCTGGACAACATGGTGAAACCCCGACTCTACTAAAAATATAAAAAATTATCCAGGCATGGTGGTGCACACCTGTAATCCCAGCTACTCAGGAGGCTGAGGCAGGAGAATCGCTTGAACCTGGGAAGCGGAGGTTGCAGTGAGCCAAGATCACGCCATTGTACTCTAGCCTGGGCAACAAGAGTGAAACTCCATCTCAGAGAAAAAGAAAAGCTGGAATAGAATCTCAGACATCTGTAAATGACTGTCAGTCCTCAGGGGTGTCTCATGGCTCCCGAAAGGAGAGGAATATGAAAGCCAGTCTACTGCCAGTTTAAGATGGGAGCATTTCAAACCTCACACAAGGAGAGCTGGAAAATTGCCCAAGGTCTATGATAACAGAAGTTGCTATGGAAATTTCTTACCCCTTGTTTCTCTCTATGTAAATCCATCCTTTGGACCCTCTTTGTACAGTTTCCTTGCATCCAGCAACATTTATAATACTTTGCTGTTTAAGGCTCTCCATTGTAATGCTGAGTTATTGGGCCTTTTTTTTTTTTTTTTTTTTTTTTTTTTTTAGTTTGGATTTTTGTCTCCCCATTCAGCCACCTCCTAGAGAGAGATGTGGAATATCATTTAAGTCATGGCTCACTTGACTGGATTGCTGTTGGCTACCTTTTCAAATTATCTTAAATATGAAAATCATTTGGTCTGATAGTTTTATAAAACAGGAATCAGGGAGGAAAGCTGGGTAGTCCAAAGCCAGTCTTATGGGAGTTGTGGTTAAAATAACTTGTAGCTGTTATGAATAATGCCATTGGCGCCAGCATTCTCTGGAGCCATATCAACTGGGAGAACTGTGATTGAAAGAAGGTGAACGCATTAGTGTCCCTAATGTCAGTCTTAGTCTGATGTCTTTTGGGATTAAGACAGTCTGTTTCTTCTCTTAGTCACCTTATTTGCTAAACCATTAAACAAATTCACTGCATGTTTACTCGATGTCGGGAGTTGGGCAGCAGTTTTAGAACCCTTCTCTAATACAAAGATTATTAAGACCCAGCCCTGCCTTCTAGAGTTCAAGGTATAGTTGAGGAAACTGATACAACAAACAATAATAGAATTAAGATGCACAGTGGTGTAAATGGGCACAGGGCTTATAGAAGCTCAGAGCTGGGGCACCCAAGTGATTAGTAAGGGGAGGGAGTGGAGAGTGGCTAAGGGATGTTTCCAGAGGACTGACTCCTACACTCTGAAAGGATCCATGGTGTTAGAGTTGGATGAGGCTGGAAAAGGCATTGTAGACAGAGACACAGAGGCCAGCGACAGAATGGTAAGTTCAAGGAGCAAGAAGCAGTTCTCATCAATAGACTGAAGAATTTAGATGTGACCCGAAGTTGAGGGAATATGTAGGGATCAGATTGACAAACCCCCTGGGGATGTTATTACAGACCTTGGTTTAGCTGAAGGTTTCATAACATTGTCTGGTTTATAGGAGGCGCCCAGTAAATATCTGTAGAAGGGAGAAGGATGGGCAATGGGATATTATTGAAGGGTTTCAGCAAAGGAACTGTGTGGCCAAATATTCTTTTTTTTTTTCCTGCATGTTTACAAATGTTACTG